GTGGCAAGGAGATGTTAAAACTCCCTCGCCTGGTATGCAGGAGGTCGTGGATTCGATCCCGCCACTGACTCCTGCTGTATATTCGGAGTTTGCGTGTCTCTCTCTCTCTCTCCCCGTGGTCGCGTGGATTTTTCATCCGGGTCCTCCGATTTTTCCCTCCGCATTGAGAATCAACGTTCAGAGTATTTGGCTGCTATGAATGTCCAGGTGATGATAAGCCACTTCTCGTTGAGCTACCATTTGTGATAACAAAGGTCGCTTCTAAAAAATTATCTCAGCAGGCCTGACCTGGTAAAATAAAAATAGTTGATAGCTGAACTCTCGAAAACTATTTGTGGCTCGCGTACATACGTCACTAAAGAATACAAGAAAGGTGATGTGGCCATACGCGTAGGATACTTGCACACAAAGACAAAAATCCCCCATATAGTCATAACAGACTGTTGGGGAAAGTGCATACACGCACACACATATACGCACACACGCCACGGCGTTTAACGATCCCCTGTTTAGCTTTGCAGACCGGGCGAAAATGCTGCCAGAGAGGACCTATTAAGTCTACCAAAAGGCATGGGGCAAGGCATGGGGCAAACACCGGTTCAGTCATCGCTCGCCACTGATGCGAGCCCTGGCCGCAAATCAAACGAGCGTCGTCACATTCAAACAGCGCTCATCACCGTGCCACCACTCCCCCAAACCGAGCAACAACGTAATATAAAGACAAAGATCCCCCGCACAGGCTTTCGAGGAAAGTGTTATTAAGCCAGCACCCCTACGACGGCCGGTACGACACATTAGCGGGTGGGGTGGGGGGGGGCAGCCTCTGTCTCCCGACCGCTGATTTAAAATAAACAAATTTTACTTTTACAGTACACACGGCACACGGAGTACGCATTTAAGGTCGAGTCAACTAAAGAGGGGGGGGGGAGGGAGGAGAGGCCCAAGACCCGTCCGGGAAAACCACCGCCGCTGTCGGCCGCGGCCGCTGGAATCGAACTCGGGTGCCGCGGGGTTCGTGCCAGCGAGCCGCGCTAACCTCCCACGCAGCAGCAGGGCTCTTGCCGCGGCGCATAATATTAACGTGCGCACACATACGCAAGCGTAATGATTAATTCATAAAACTGCTTAAAATCTCCCCCCCCTCCCCCCCCATTTAATGGCGATTAATAACAATCAGCGCTCGCCACGGCAATAAAAGGAAAGCGTTTCTGTTTTTCGTGAGTAGGCGCGCAATTGCTCATAGGGGAATGCTCAATAATTCTTTGGAAGGAGCCCTTGGGGAGGAGAGGTGGGGGGGTGAGAGAGGCTCGAAGCGGAGAGTTGAAGGGGCGGAGGCGCGCAGTTTATTAATCTCCGCTAATTGCCCTCGTATAGTAAACTCATAAAACCGCGTTGCAGCAGCGCCACAACCGCCGGGCCGGCCGCGGCGCCATACAGGTTAATGGCGTTTACACGCCGGGGGTTGTGTGTCATCGGCGCGTTTCGCCCGGGGCGCGCACTATCTCCGAGGTCAGAGCGCCAGGCTGGCAGCGCCGAGATCCCGCGCTTTGAATTACACATTTAATCCGCCTGCGATTAAACCGCCTTCTCAAGCGCGGCGAGATGATGGACTAGGCCCCGTCACGAATGACTGCACAGAAAGAAGAAAAAAACAACAAAAAACATCGCATTCAGACCGATTCTGCCTTCAATTGGACAAATTCCACATCTCGCGATTGGACGTATCGCGGTTTTACTGCCGTGCGACGGACGCCGCTCTCTGCAGCAGGGCGTGTGGGAATCACGTGGACTGGTGGTCACACGAAGAAGGGGGGGTCCCGTCTCCTCGAGGTAGCCCTACGATATCCGCTTACCCCGGGGCCGTCCTCCAACACGGAGGCGCGACACCGCTGCGCGCGAGATCCGATACGGATTCCCCGTGTCACGACGCGACGCTCACGGTGTGATCGGGATAATGATTTAACAAATCGGGGGGGGGGGGAAATAGCAAAGTTAAAACTGTGGGGGGCATCCCTGAAAAGTCCGGCAGGATTTATTTATCCCGGAGAGACAAGAACAACGAAAAGTTAAACTAAGCGACCACCAACAACTCTAACTTATACAACCAACGAGCCATTTGCTGCATTAATGATCTAGATTCGGGGATAATTATGCAGACGCCTCTAAGGCCGACCAAATGCCAGCATGCCAGCAAGCCAGCCGCTCCACCGAGCGGAGCGTCTCTTCTTTACATGACGCCACTCTCCCAGGCCCGAAAGCCTTCTCCCACATTACTCACAGCCGTGCCAGCAGCCTCTGGGGCTTACGCGAGGGCAGCTGTTTATTACAGTTAGCATCTCAAACAAGACAGACGAGGAGGAGGAGGCGGAGGCACATAGTGAGCGAGGAGAAGGAGGAGGATGGGAGAGCAGGGAGTTGTGGCTAAAACCAAACTAGTTTAATGATTAGCTCTCAAATACTTCTCCCGGGCTCTTGTAGCAAAACCCCGTGGGGGTCCGGCAGCGGTTGCATTGCCGCGTACGCGCCTGTAGACCAACAGCCGCCTTGCCAATCAATCCGCTGCTGGATGAGGTTCGTGTAAGGGGGGGGGGGGGGGGGGGGTTGCCCGACCACGCTTCGCTGCGCCGTGTCGGCGGAGGCGTCGGAGTACAGCGTGACAACAGATTTAACCGCACCGCCTGCGGCGCAGGCCCCATGGCGGCCTGCAAACGCCCGCTATTCCACGGCGGTCGCACGTCCCAGCGCAGACACGTCCACACAAATGAAAAAAAATCCCGCTTAGCTTGCGAGGCACGACGAGGCCGGGTGCCGGCCGGCACACGAGCGGGTTGGGTTTGGCCAGCGCAACGTCCGGCCGCCACCGCCTCCCCAGTGGCGATGTTTTCACACACCGCACACGCTGGGGTGCTTATTTCGAGGCTGAGTCGACCCTAGGGGAGGTGGCCCAGGATCGGTTCAGACAATCGTCACTGGTGTCCGTGAGTGTGAACGGGAATCGAACCTCGGTCACTGCCGGGTTTCGTAGCGCACGGCGGCGGCAGCAGCAGCAGCATCAATAATAATTCAACGGATAAAGAACAACGCAAACTAATCATCGGCAGCGTCGTTGCGGAGAACTGCCTTAATTCTCCATGACGACGACCCATGTGGTTGTTGTGCGTTCAGTATTCCTGCAGAATTTTGCGTCGTACCAAAATCCACATTTTTAAAAGAGGGTCCTGGCCGGTAACATCTGGCAGTTCCCACAAGCCGTTGGTTGGTTAAAACAAGCCACGAATCTGCTCACGAGTCACCGTATGTCGAAAGCGGTCCAGAGTTTTGCTTGTGCAGAATTCAATGGCGCACACAATGGTGCACTCCCAAGAAGGCCTTGTGGCGGACGGGAAGTGTAAAGGATGGAGGGGCGGACGTGTGAAGGAGACGATGCTTGACTTAAAGCTTTCGTGGCTGCGGGAATTCACATTCTTTGGGTCTTTCGGTAAAGTCACGTAGACAGAAAAAAATAACAAAAAATATCGACGTTTCCATCGCAACACAAGCGGTCGTCTTCAGGAAAATGGCTTCACCGAAAGACCCAAAGAATATGAGACACTGCTTATTCATTATCTTCACGACAACAGATCGGCCAACCGAATGTGCGCATCTGACACGCACGAAGAGGCCCGTGCAGCGGCCGGGAACTCAGTGATGACATCATCTTTACTCCTCTGTTTAAGACCGAAACAGGAGGACTTCTTCACAATTCTGGCTAATCGACCCGAAGGAGCTGGTTGTTGCAATCACCAGCGAGACGTCGTTAAGTCGAATTGTAAATGTAGTGGGTTTAACTCTCCAACACACCGTTGTGTGCTGAACGAGTAACTAATCGGCACGTTTGGTTTACGTGACAATCCTTACTAATTGGCTGTGTCGGGTGGTGGCGGGTTTAACGACACATTCATATTCACGCGATCTGACTCAAAAACCTCCGTCATGGATAATATTGGTCGCGAAAGCCTACGACTACTACGACTACGTGTTCAACTAACACGCCAACTGACGTGCTAAAAATTAGAACCGCGGTCTTACGGGCTGGTGAAAAACCGTCACTCCTCCGGTACCCGATTAGTGCGCCCAAGACGCTGTCGGCAACGGGCAAGCACCGCTCGCTCGCCCGCCATTTTCAAAGGGGCCGTGGAGCCTTCTCGTGCGGTCGTGTGGAACGGAGCCGTGGGTTGCATCTGGCCGCCCACGGGGGGAGGGCGGAGGGGTCGCAGGTTCGCCACATCCCTCGGTTAACGGAAAGTTATTTCTGCGGCATGCCTTATCGCAGGCCTTCATCACCACCGCCTTTGGTGTTGTTGGGCAAGGCACCCGTTTTTAGGTGTTGACTCGCTCGGGCAACGACGTCCACCTGGCGACAGGAACGTGACCGGGCGGACGGTGAGGTTTGGGCTCGCAAACATCGCCCGCACGGGCCTGAGAGCACCGTGCTCGTTCTGGACTACTCCTGGCGCCTCTCACCTACGCCCGGCGCGCGCTTCGATCGCGACCGTTACGCACCTCGTTCGTCCGTTGTGCGGCATTCCCTGAAGGAACCCCGAAGCCGTCCTCTGCAACGCTGATGTTCGCGTCTCTCACCGGTTTCGTGTTGCCGGTTTGCTCGGACGCGACATCGCGGACCTCCCGCGTGAAGCGGCCGTGCAACCGGCTGCGACGGACCCATCGGCTAAAAACTCCGTCGCGACGTGGACGAAATCCGCAATCGGATGGGAGTCGTGCACCACAACCCCCCCCCCCACCGCGTGAACGGCGCGCCTCGCTGGGTGTTTGTTAAATCTCTCGAGTTGGCGGCTCGGACGAGGCCGAGAGCGCCGTACCACGCGACACGGCGGTGGCCGCGACTCGCGCGCGTGGCACGACGCAACGGACGAGAAGCCCGTGCAAACAGGAAGAGAGCGGCGGCGCCGGCGGGCGGTGCGTGCCCCGTGCCCCGCGCGCCGGCGCGAGCGGTCGCCCACCTGTCGGGCGAGCGACGCAGTCCCGCTTCACCAGTCCGTTGGGCAGGAGCGGCACCAGCTGCGGTGCCAGCTTGACCAGGCTGGGCACGTCCAACTGCTGCAGCTTCTGCACAACAAACACGAGACACACACCATAGAGGGCACGGGGAGGGGGGGGGGGGGGGGGGGAACACCTCCGCGTTAAAGACGGTAATGTAACCACCTCTCGCCTGGCATAGAGGGAAGGTCCGTAGGTTCGATCTGGACCCTCAAGCCCAGGGGTGGGCAAATTTTTTGACCCGCGGGCCACAATGGGTTCTAAAATTTGACAGAGGGGCCGGGCCAGGAACAGATGGATGGAGTGTTTGTGTGAACTTAATATAAATGACGTGTAAAAATCATTACATGAAAGGATTTGGCCTTGAACAGGTAGCAAAGCATTTAATTGCAAGGCAGTTTAACAAATTGCACGAACATGAACAGTACAAAAACACGTCGCAACGTGACTGATCACACATCGTGAAAACATCTGAGGCCTGCGCCCAAACCTATTACCACACTCCCGGTCAAAGTGCGCCATCTAATGGGGAAATGGGGGCATTACAGGAGAAAGGTAAAATTTAATTTAATAATAATAATATTTGGACAAGTTCGGCGGGCCGGATAAAAAAGCTCAACGGGCCGTATACGGCCCGGGGGCCGTCCATTGCCCATGTCTGCTCAAGCCTGCTGTATATTTGTGGCCGCGTGGATTTTTCTCCGGGTCCTCCGGTATTTCTCTCCACATTTTGAATCAACGTCACACGTTCAGAGTATTCGGCTGCTATACATTTCCACGTGACGACGATGAGCCAACTTCGTTGAGGTATCATTTGTGATGGCCAGGTCGCTGCTACCCGGAAGGAAGGAAAAAAAATGTGCCCGGCCACCTTTGTCAACCATTGGTGGACATGATGTTTACAAGACCACAGCAGGTACTATAATTTAAGGCCCGAGTCCACCTCGGGAGGCTCACAAAGGCAAGGCGATCGGCAGGCTCAGAGGTCAGACTGCCGAGGCCCTGGGCAAGAATCCAGGCAGCTGCCCGTGACTCAGCCGGGTTGACGGTCTCAGCCTGGTCACCACTGACTTGTGCAAAAGACAAAAATTCCCCATATAGTCTTAACAGACTGTTGGGGCAAGTGCTGCTAACGAGCACCTATGAAGGCCGGCACAGCTAATGAGGGGGGTGAGGGGCCAGCACCACGCCTGGCCGACTTTCGTCTCCCGAGTGGCGATGTTTACACACCGCACCAGGTACTCATTTGAGGCCGAGTCGGCAACGCGCTGACCAATACACTACCGCTCCCCACACTGACTAAAACAGAGACTCATAGACTCACATAGGAGACCCATAGAGTAGACTGAGTTGTGATTAAACTGGGTTCTCAGTTGTAGCGACGTCGATGGCCTCAGCCCAGTGACCAATGAGCAGACTAAAAAAAAAAACCCCCATCGGATAAAATTTCATTCTGCACTCAACTTGGCTAAATTCCAGCTCTTGAGAATTCAAAATATCCGTTTAATCGTCATGCAAAGACCCTCACTCTCAAAGAGTGCGGAACGGGTGGGAAAGTGCTGCCCCCTCCACTGCGTGGTGACCAGTCTAAGAAAAAGAAGAAAGCATCTCAGCGGTAGCTCTGCGATGTCCACTTCCGCGGCCCCACTAACTCCAACAATGCTCTGCGAGATTTCCGACGGGTAGTCCCATATTAGCGGTGCGATGTCGATGGCGCAACCGTGATAACAAACAAGAATTGGGGGGGGAGGGGGGGGGAATAACGGGTAAAAATAAAATAAGCAAGAGCTGGAGCTTCCCTATCAACGGCGATCGACGGACCCCCCTGACATTTAAGCCCAATCCTTGTCTCCCTTGCGGCTGCACCAGCTGGTCAATCTGCACTGCGCTGCTGCTGCTGCTGCCACTGCTGCCTGTTCTACCCTCTGTGCAGATTGCTGCCCGCGCGTGCACGCGTGTGTGCGTGTGTCTACCAGTAACGGTGCGAGAGAAGTTCAACATGCACAGATGACGGTCAGACGGACAGTGTTAGTTGAAGGGATCTACACACGGTCGCAGCAAGCACCGTGACACGGTGGCCACGCGTGCCGCCCTCCTGTCAATCCACCGCTGGACAAGGGCCTGCCCAAGCCGTGCGGGATTTATCGGACCATACTTCGCCACGCTGGCCAGTGCCGGGTTGGTGAATGCGCGGAGCATGGACGCGGGAGCACGGCAGTGCGGTACGGTGCTGCCCTCCGCTGCTGATCCCGTGGCCCTGCAACCCCCTCTCTGTGCCCAACCGGTGGCTATCCAGGCTCAACACCTGCTGAGCTTCTGAGGTTCGACGAGGCGGGACACGATGCGCTCTGGTCACTGGTTCTGATTTCACGCAAGCGACCAATGGCCAGACAGCATCTGCGCTCCACCGAAATAAAGAACGTAGCGGGCGTTTGTTCAATAAAAAAATGGGTTCTGATTAAATGTATATAGATTGATGTAAATTATGGCTGGATAGCGCTTCGATGGGTGACCAACTCCATGCATAACAGGTGTTGTGGGCTGGCTGTAGGGCTACACTTTCAGTAGGGCCTACATCAAAATACAGTACATCATCAACGTACCTACAAAGCTCCAACGTCTGCGCTCCCCACCTCCACCAAACCCGCACCGGCCGGCGCGGTGAAGTACGGTCAAAATAACCCCCCCTCCGCCCCCCCCCCCCACGACCCGCACCTGGAGCGGGAGGGGCCCGCATCCAGCAGCGGGTATGTGGCAACAGAGCCGTACCATGCGCAGGTTTATTGGGAAGACGAAGAAACAATATTTCATTAACCTTTTAACCCCGTGACGTAACCGTGAATGGCCGATGTGTTCTGCTTAAATAATTCACAGTCCCGCGCGGCGCATGTTTGCACGCGCAACCGCGCGTGTCCCGTACCAGTGCGAGTACACGCGGGGTGGGGGGGGGGGGGCGGAGGCTTCATTTCTCCCCGAATCATTTCCCCGACGCCGCTGGCAGACCCGGAGGGCAAGGGAGTGACAAAAGCCCCCGGGCGGGTCGTCGCGCAAGGGGTCATTTCATTCGGTACCCGCCACGGGAACGGACTTTATTTTTATTTTCGTATGCGCTTCGGACGGAGCGTGTGCCCACCGTGCATCACCGCAGGTAGGCCACTGGATGCGGCGCGCCCAGGGCAACGTGGAAATACTATTCGGGTCGACGACCTACCTGGAAATTATGCGGCGCGAGCGCACGCGTATACATATTTAATTACAAACGCAAAAAACGATTCGACGGCTTCTGTGAGGGAGGGCAGCACAAGATGCGTCGGCTTACGGGGTGACCCGTGCCCGCTGATAACGTCGTCGCGTCTCGACCGAACGTCAATCGCCGTCGCCGGGACAAGCCGCCGCCGACAGCTAACTCGCCTCCGCGGAGGCGACCGCGGCTGACACTCGTGGTTACGGTGACAACACGCATCAAAGAGTAAAACAGTTGAACGAGTAAATTAATAAAATGCCGCCACGCCATCGTTGCCTCTCGTCCGGCCTTTGACCCACGGCATCGCGATAGCGGTCATTCAAACGAACAAATGCGGCGTGGCGGTGGTTAGTGGTGATTGTGGTGGTGGTGGTTAGCGGTGATTGTGGTGGTGGTGGTTGGCACTTTTGACAGCAACGGTTAGTAACGTCACGTGGTTTTCTTTTGCGCTGGGTTTCTATGCTCGGAAAACCTGGCTTCCTCCCGTATAACCTGGCATATGGTCAAACATTCCAATCCACCAGGAGCCCCCCCAAAGAAGAGACCCGGTGAAGTTTCCCTGCGTAAGCGAAATCATCATCATCATGGTTGATGGCGGACAATGATATGAGGAAGGAACGAGAGACGGCATTGAGTGGACAAGCGAGACACGAGGCCACACGGAGGCCCACGACAAACGAGGAAAGGAGCAAGCGATGTCACATTTTTTTAGACGATCGTTGTCACATTTAATCCCTCGCTTAGTCTCTCTCCCTTTCTCTCTCCCTCCACCCCCTCTCTCTCCCTCTCCACGAGCGCCGATAATCAATGGGACGCCGACGCGCGAATTACATCTCCGACACGCGGACAATATAAAAACAAATATCGCTCCGAGTTTTCCCCGAACGTAAATGTCTCGCGCCACGGGGACAAATTAAGTGGCGGGGGTGGCGAACCGGGGAGAAAAAGCCAAGAGAAATTAAGTAGCGGCCGCAGAAGCAACCTTCAGAAATACACAAACACGACACCGCCGGCTCCGAATATGAAAGCGGTTACTGTCAAAAGCTGAAGAGAGAGGGAGAGAGGGAAAAAAACAACCATCGCAGGAATGTTTTTGAGTTTTTGTTTTTCTTAATATTTTATGGAGCTTGTGTGCGTGCGTGATTCCAGCCGCACATTTCCACGGGGAAGAGGAGGGGGGGGCCTTGCCCCTGCCCACGGATTTGGCAAAGTCGGCGGAGCCACCGGGCCCATCCCACATCCCCCCCACCACCCCCCCCCCCCTCAGTAGACGAACCAACACCCGCCGGGCACAGTCCGAGTTTTGTGTTGTTGCGTTTACGCAGCTGGATAAAAAAAAACCGTAAGGGAGGCGCAAACGGCGAGGCACATTTTTTTTTCCCCGCGACTTTTTCTCTTCGTTTCATTTAACTCACGGGGAGGGGGGGAAAAAAAAAAAGGACTTCAGAACTCTATTAATAGGCCAGTGTGCCCCGGACTTGCGGAGGATGGCTGTGAATTCCACCGAAACAAAACTGCCCATTCAAAAGCGGCGGCTAAAAAGCCGCGCGCAAGGAAGAGAAAAAAACCAAACGGACCTCAAAAATAAAAAAAGACCACACAAACATTTCATAAAAGTTACGGTCTATACCTTGTGGGGGGGGGGGGGGGGGGCAAGGCCCAACAACAACACAGCGCGCGCACCTCACGCTCGCGGCCACGCGGGAAGCCCTCTCCGCAAAAAAACAAAAAAACAGAGAGAGAGAGAGAGCGGGCGGCAAAAACGAGCGTGGACTGAGCGAAGCCTCACCTCCAGGGCCCTGGCCTCGATATTATAATAACGATT